GCAGTAACTCTAGTCTGGCATTTAAAATAAATGTTAGCAGCTACTCTAATGTGGCATTTGAAATAACCATTAGGTTTCAATCTCAATTCTGACTTGAAGAGTAGATCTACTTACAAAAAAATGCATGCTCTTCACAGTAAATGGGCATACATAATTTCAAGCAGCACATTAAAATTATTTTTTAAAGGTACAAACTGTATAGCAAACCCACTAAGTTCAAGTTTAATCCATCATTCTCTCTTCATAAATGTCAAAGTATTTCCCTGATAACATTTAAAGCCTCAAAAGTTGCAGATCTCTTGCTGTCTTGCTGCCTTTGCGATGGCAGAACACGAAAAAACTGGTGATGGACAGAGGTCTAATATCTTTCACAGCATTGAACTGTGCAGTATGCAGAAATAAATTTCATGCCAAAGTACAATAAACATTGGGGTGAGGATCTGATGGGGAAAGAGAAAGACATTTAAGCAGGTAGTTCAAAAATGTAGCAGCACTTATTTTGTATATGTTGGAGAAAGATTAAATTCCTCATTGCATCATTACATTCTATGCAGTTCTGTGAAGGAAATGAATATCCATCATCACCTCTGCCAGCGCAACAAAATATATTAAGATTTTAGAAGAGTAGTAGGCATAAGTAGAAAACAATTTACCAGTAAGTTATAAGCAAAGCATCAAAACTAAAACTAAAGCAACAATAACACAGCAAAGTCATTACTTATTAATAGTAACTAGAGAATATCACATTTTTAACATCTTCGGGATATTTGGTTTGGTCTTGGTTCAACAAGCATAAGACATGTAACAAGCAAGTCACACCACCACATGCATGTGTCCAAAAGCCATGTTACAGTTCTAAAGACCTTTTTATTCTTCTCTTTTAATGAAAATTCTTGCAAGGTAACCAAATCAAGATTGACTCATATCTGTCACTGTCTTCTTTATTAAGATATCTTGTCCTCTGAAGTGATTACACTCAGATAAACAGACCTATTTTTTTCCTTCTCATGGACAAGAGTTCGCTATGCTAATCCTTTAAAAAGCAGCATGTAAATTTCCCTGTATGACATTTTGAAAAATAATGGTTAAGCTGAAAAGGTACAGTGTCTATAAATTTAGTTTGGTAGCAAGAAGTGTCTTCTCTGCCGTTCCATGACATTCATTGTTGGTTTTTATAAACTTGCTCCTAACCATTCTGAGCATACAACACTCAAGATTGTTATTTCACAGCAGTCATGGCAGTTTACTTTGTGGGCCTCATGATCTCTAGGTTAGAGTCAGTATTTTTGCTAAGCTCAGTTGCCCTGTTCAATTTTCTGTACCTTATGAAAATTTCTTTCTGTACTTAACACATTTTAGAATAATAATCTATGTCCTATACACAACACAACGTAAACATAGACTACTTGATGAATTTCACAGTGTACGTTCACAAATAAATAATAAAATTATCAGCAGCCGGAACAGGCATTTCATCAACCATATTCTTCAGGAATCACACACATTTCTTTAGCCTTTTTTATCACAGTAGAGAAGATCAACTGGAAGTCTTGAATAACTGTATAAATATTATCTACATAGAAAATGGGGAACATATATTAATATGGCATTGGTCTCAAGGCACTGCAGTCTATGTTTTCAAAAACTTAACATATTTGGATTCCTGATTACATAATTTGACTTTCAACAATGGTTCTATTAAAAAACTCTTCCGAAAACAGACACCCCTGTGTTTTTCTCTATCACATAATTACATGTTTCACTGCAAACTTATTTTTCTCAAATATTGAAGAAAGCTGAATTAACTACTGAGTATCAAAAAGTCCACATCACGTTGTGAATGCACCTTATACTTTATACTTTGATCTTTGTTTCTGCAACAATTGTTTCTAACAGCTTTACTAAAAGAATAAGAAAGTCAGCTTCTTCACCTAAATGTTTTGGGCAAAACGAAGTAGCATTAATGACTGCTAAGCCTTCCTAAAATCAGTGCAACAAACTAGCAGAAGATTATACCCGAATTGTGGAAATGTAACGCAGAGCTGCTGCAACAGGTTATACAACACCTAAACATTTTCATTGCTTCAGAAATGGAAGAGAACTACCTTGTCTTTACACTACACTTAGAGAAGCTCTACAGTTAAATCTGATGCAAAATCCATTGTTAGCTGCAACTTCTGCTAATCACTGAGACAAACCACCAAAAAATTAAAGAAATAGCCTGCACTAAAGTTTTTGCTCCTGCAAAGGATGATACATAGGAAGACCACCTTAAAAAGCTCCCTCTAGCCGTTGTTGTCACATCTCAATTCCTAATATTGGTCAGATATCCATTAAGGGCACTTGTGGCTCATAATTAAGACTGCACTCCATAGCATTCTAAAAATAGACCAATACTTGGCAATCATCTGTAAGTGTGCATAGACATATATTAAAGACTTCAGATAAAGCATGTCTATGAGCATCTGTAATTGCAGAAAAGCATTACAGAATGAGTTGCATCATGAGTCATATGTAACTGAGGTTCTTAAGTGAGCCAGATTTACGTCATTCAGTGTGAACTTGGAAATAGTTTGTTGCAGTGAGCTCTGAAATTAGACAGAACTCTTCATAAATTTTAATGCTGTTGTAAGGACATCATATAAAATTCTCTAGCAATAACAGAATTCATCATATAATCCTAACAATTTTTCTCCTAGCAATTGGAAGACCTTTCAGACATGTCATTTTTTCATGTCTTCCTGAACCAGCTTGATGCTCTCACTGCTCTAGGAAGCCCATTTAACTACTGTATTTAGCTTCACCTCAAAATGCCTGCTAATGGAAAGGCAGAGAAAACAGGTACTCATAGAAACACTATCAGCGGATACCATGAACTCAAAAGAGCCTCACCAACACTGACAGAAACAACTGAGTACAAGCAAGGAAGTTTTTCTTTGTGAGGACCAGGCTCTGTAGGAGTTGCAGAGATACAAGACCATCTACATAAGTCTGAGCAATCTGTCTGGACAATAAAAAGGCTGGTTCACTTCTCCCAAATCACTTCTACAAAACAAACTTGAACACCATCATAATTCAAATAAAATGTAGATATTATGTGAAAAACACCAGCCTTTACCACTTGATCTACAATCTCTAACAACAGCACTAGGGAGTTTTTATGCTGTATAAATCACTGCCATAAGCCTTAAGGGATGCGCAGATATTCTAGCAGGATGATAAGGCTCCGCCCAGCAGAGAGCAGTTAAGCAAATACATCTGAATGAGTAGCATGTACTTGGTTGGGAGTTTTGTGGGGTTGGTTGCTTTGGTTTTTTTAATATTTGTTTTAGAAGACAGCTTTCACGAACTTCATTATCCCAGCCATTTTGTTCTTTTAGGCTATATGACTTCCACAACTTTCAAGAAAATATTTTGTTTTCTGAGATACTGGAGTCTTGCTGAAATGATGCAACCCAGCCCTCACACGAAAAAGCCTAGAAAAGCACGAGACATTTTTTAATGATTCAGAAGCTCCACACTTCCCCCACCCCCCTAAATTAACTATCACACTTCTCTGACCCCTGCGTGAATGCTGCATGTATTCTTTAGTTAACTCTAATGATCAAATTAAAGCAAGAATAGCAGAGAGCAATTTTAAGCTAGGTAACTTTACATACTACTTTTTTCACATCTTGAGTCTCAATATAGTTTCCACCTGAACCTTCATCTTTAACCAATCAATGGAAGAATAAAAACAAACCAAAGCAAAAAGTTTTCCATTTCAAAACACAGATCTCTAGACATTATGAACTCTGACAACAGTGCTACCAGTAGGCAACTGGAGACTACTTCCAGGGAAGGATACCACTTATACACAGGTGCTCAGAATAATCACATTCAGTGAACTTGTAAAAGCCAAATTATTGAGCAAAAAAGGTATCTTACAAAAAAAAAAAAAAAAAGCCTGCAAGCTTACCACTATTTTTCCACAATCATGCAGACATGTTATGAGTATCAATCATCTGTTGAACTTAATTTCCTGAAAACTACATCCCAAGAGCCACAAAAAGAAAGTTAAAACACTACTTCTTTCAGGGAGGCAGTCTGTCATACAATATCTCAGATGAAAGACATCATGTTTGTTTTCCCAATAGTTCCTTATTTTCCATATAGCAGGATGGAACAGAAAAACACCCAGAGAAGAAAAACATCTGTAAAAAGCAGATGTCTGTTATGCACATTTACTGCTACATCTATAAACCAACTACTTATGCTTTGGCATGGGAAATGATGTTTTTCTTTTTTTCAGTCTTGAACAATACATGTTTATCCTATATGTAGCAAAAGAGATTCCTACAGGTAAAAATACTATTAAAACTGCACAGATTTTCTGTATTTTTTGTTCTAACCATTAATATAATATAAACCTACAGTTTCTTCTTAATTGGAAAACAAGAGAATACAGTATTTACTGATGGAACACTTTTGTGTGTTTATGAATCAAATAAAATCAGTCAAAGGATAAAGAACTAAACACCAATGCCTTTTAAATAATAAAGAGTAAGTTTCAGAGCTCATGCCTACATTTGCTCTGAATAACACACACAGAAAGGCTTTAACATGGTATTTTTGTTGTTTTTAAACAGAGATAGGAATCTTATTAACACTACTTTTACATCCAACCTATTATAAAAAAACTGCTATTTGACAGCTTATAAGGAACAATGACTGCCAGTGTTAGCACACTCCATGCATTTAAATAAAAATATTAAACCCCCCTAATGCAGTTTGCAACTCCTTTCATCGTGGGTTGTTTATTTTTTTTTTTTCCAAAATATGCTCCTTTCTTCTGTAATGCTGAGATGTTATCACAGGAGCTTGCCTCAGTGTGCTACAGCATTCTGCACCCATGTGTACCGTGCCACGCTACAGCACGCCGCATCCTGCTGATCAGCCAAACCCACTGGCTACCGAAGGCAGACTCATCCTACCGGAGCACATTGAAACCTTCCTCTTACCTCGACTTCCTTGCTCTTCTCTTTGTTTCTGCCCATTGAACTTCTCCCATTGCTGGCAGTCTCCCGCGCTGGAACTACAGAAATCTGTTGGAGGGGCATTTTTACAGTGCTGCAGGTTGCCAATACCTGTTTGGATGCCTTATATCTTCACTCCCCCCGAGTAGCCCACCTGTATAATTGTTCATATCCTTGCTTTGCCAAGCTCAGCTCTAAATAAAAAGGGGAAAATATTATTTGAGAAACCATGTACCATATGCCAGGGTCTTCCATTAAAAAAAAAAAAAAAAGTGAAGCAGAGCAAATTGCAAACACAAGCAAGAAACAGCAAACAAAGAAGTAAAGCACAATAATCCAGAGAGTTTCACATGCTTAGAGTGATGAGTTGCTGCAAGTCATAACTCCTCTGCTGTGTCCCTGGAGCATCCCCTTGCCCCCCTGCCCCCCAAGAGCATTGTGGGAGACAATTCAATTTCTGTGTTACCTAATAACTGTCATGGAAACCAAGGAAACCCGGGTCTCGCAGGCCCTTATTAACAATCGCTTCCCTCTAATGGCACAGGCTCCCACATTTGCAGCGGCTGCCACTTCTGCTTTTGTTTCCCATCTGATTCCACAGGAGCCCACTAAGCACCCGGAGACACCACCTCGTGCTGACTAGGTAAAGCAGCGTAAGGCTGAAAAGCTTAGTGTTCTATTTTGGAGCTAAAATCTCCTCCTTTAAAAGCACGGATAGCTTGCTGTGTCCTTCATGCATCTACAATAATCTGCTTAGGTCAAAGGATCTGCCTTGAAGTGAAGAGCAGCGGTGAGCGAATGAGGTGTAAAAAGGAAGACAAGACTGGGAGGGATTGCAAATGTGCCTCTCTGAGGTTGATAGTAAAAAGTTAACCCTTTGCTGTGCTCATCTTTTCCCAAGACATCACCAGAAGCAAGCTCAGCAGGACAAGCCAAAGGCGCACACACACGTCTTTACAGTACGCGCACACACACACACACACACACACACACACACTCTGAAAATGTCATTTACATGAGCTTCTCCCACCCAACAGCCTCTGTTCTCTCAGTTACAAGAATCAAAATGCCCAGGAAAACTGTTTCAACATCTCCCCTCCCCCTAAAATGCAAAACAATAGAAGAATGTCCCAGGTGCTGTACTACAAAAATGATTATGAAGAAAGGAAACTCTTAACACTTATACTCCTTTAAAAATTTTATTATTCTTGATAAATATTAAGAATGCAAGTAAAACTGATTTTGATTAAAAATAGTAAAGAAATCATTACATCATAAGCCAAATTGTTTGCATTGTATAAATAATACAGGAATGAAAGCGGGGGGGGGGGGGGG